CCGGCGCGAGCAGAACCCGACCCCGGCCGCAACAGGCCAGGCGCCGCAGCTACGCACCCGTCTCGCCACCGGCCCCAGCTCTGCGGGTGCCGCAGAGGCCCCCCGAGAGGAGAGGAGGGGATCGGGGGCACAGAGCCATCCTAGCCCTGGGGAGCTCTCTGGCCACTAGCTTCCTGGTCCCTAAAAGCCAGTGACTGACCAGGAATGGAGATACCAAAGCATCGGCGCAGCTCAGAAGCAACTTCTAAGTGCAGCATGCGGCAGCTAGTGCTGCTCAAAGCTCAGACACAGGAGATGCCCCAACCTGCCTCGCAGGACTAACAGGGGCAGCGAGCACTGTCTCAGCCCCAGCACAGTCACCAGCAAAGCAAAACCCAGAGGCAGCCCAGAGCTGGTGCCTTGCTCTCCCTGTTGGCTCCCCAACCTGGAAACACCAGAACTGCGGCAAGAAGGCACCGGCAGGAAAGGAGTGCTGGGAAATGAGTCCCTGTTCAAGGGTTGAGAGCTGGCTGCTCACGCAGCTCTGAGCCCAGTGGGTGAAATCTGCTCTCCCTGGAAGGCCACGCACAGAGGGAGACAGATGGGGACACGAGATAGAAGAGGCAAAGGAACAATCAACACCCTGTGTGACTCTACCAGAGGACCTGCAGAAATAAATCGTAAGGAGGCCTGTTATCAAGAACTGCTTTCTTTAGACCTACAGGCTTTTTCCCAGGAAAAGCTTCACATAGGAAGAACCTCCATGTAAAAGCTGGATGGGCTGGAAGGCTTCACCCTGGGGGGGGTCTGGGTACAGAGCTCTCTAGGCATGGAGTATAGAGGGACTCCACAAGTCTCTACGCAGACCCCTCTGATCACTGTTAAACCAAAAAGCCCAGGAACGCCACGTTTGCCATACACGGAATGTTTTGGCTGAAGACAGCTGCCCCACTGCAAGGAGCATGTCCCTGTTCCTGAAGACTAGATCTGTCCAGGTTAAAATCTGGCAACAGTCAAGTACCTGAGCTGCCGGGCAGGGTTCCTCTCTGGAGAGATGAAGTGTATTTTGCTGAAGGCCAGGGCTAGAGCAAAAGGAGGAAGAGAAGTGTTTTTCTCAACCCACTGGAGAGTTTTGGTGGAGGCAGCCTCCCAGTGACCACAGGCTTTAGCTCTCAGTGCTGGTGCAGGGAGGGAGGCAGGAACATGCACTGCTTGCAGGCACCTGCCAGGATCTCGGGGGACAGGTGACTACTCAGCGCTGGCTTTCTCAGGTACTGTGCACAGGTGCAAGGAGCTGGATGAGCTTCTTGCAGAGTCGAGTGGAAGAAGGCCGCGGGCTGCCACCAGCAGTGGGCTGAGAGTCCCTGCTGGCCAGCGCAGCCAGCTTCTCACTGGCTCTGAGGGACAGTAGCACCTACAGAGCAAAGAGAGGACACAGGAGTCACAAGCCAGCCCAGCACCTTCCCTCTGTCCCACCAGGGCTGTCAGATGGCCCACAAAAGAACTCAGGGTCCCCCTGAGCACCCATGCTGTTGGGATGTGGGAGGGCTGGGCAGTACCTGCTGTATCCCTGGGTGCTGGCTGATGGCCCGCAGTGCAACAAGGGCTCCTTCCCGCACGCTTGCTTGAGGGTCCCGGCAGGCCACCTCCAGCAGGATGTGGGGGGCCTTGCTCTGGATCAGCAGGTTCCCCAGCTCTGGCGAGTGCCGGCCCAGGTTGCCCAGGGCTGAGGCTGCGTTGCAGCGCGTCTTGGTCTGCGCATCGCTCAAGAGTCTTGTCAGCCTGGGTATGGCCCTGCCCAGGGTCTCAGCTGGGGAGGACTTGTGGTAAGCAGCATTGCCCACTGCAAAACTGGCTGCCTTGCGCACATTCTCGTCCTGGTCCGCCAGGCACTCCAGCAGGCTCTCCAGCAGGCCAAGCTGGCTCTGCAGCGCCTGGGGAAAGCTGTGGTTGTGTCGGAGCAGGTTGCCCAGCAGATGGCAGGTTTTGGCACGTATGGTATGTTCCCAATGGCCAAGCAGGTGGGTCAGTGGCTGGTAGGCCATGTCTGAGCCCCCCAGGATCCTTTGGAGAAAGGGTAGGTGCTCCGCACAGACCCGGGCCACGTGGGTCAAGAGGGACAGGAGGTCGGCTGTGAGCGTTCGGTTGTCTGAAAACAAGACGGTTGTCAAGAAGGCAATGACGTGCTCCGAGGCCGCAGCCTCCCTCACAGCTTGGTCTATGACCTGCTCATCAGACACAACGAGGTGGCACAAGAGGCTCATGGGGAGCTCTGTATCCGAGAGGGGCAGATGATGACAGCAGGCCTAGGAGAAAGGAGACACAGCAGTGCTGACTGAACTGCCCTCACATGTGGGCTGGAGAGTGGTTAAGGCTTAACCCCACAGCAAGTTAAGCAGTGGCTAAAGGCTGCCAGCAGGACGGTGTGGAGCAGCTGACCTGCTCCGAGGGCTGCGTGGCACCCACGTGATGTCCCTGTGTGGGCAGAAATCTGCAGTGCTGGCAGGCTGTGAGACAGTGCCATGCATCAGGGGCAGGAGGTGCAATGCAGGAAGATGTCTCCAGAGCGTGGAGAGAGAGAGAAGCTTGGGGGCAGGCAGCTGGGCACAGGGGAAGGGGAGAGGAGGAGACCTCAGGGTACCTGCAGCAGGTGAACAGGGATCTGGGAGTCTCTCACAACCTTCGTGATTGATGCCAATGTGTCTTCATCCACATCCACAGCAAAAGGGAAACAGAGGAGCTGGCAGGCCTGGAGCACCACAGCTGGGACAAGCTCAGGGTCCCCGTTCTCCCCCACTTGTCTGGATTTATTGGAGAGATTAAGCTTAACACAGAGGTGATCAGAAAACAGCAGGGCAAAAGGCAGACAGCTTTCCTCACACCAGGCACCAGGGAGAGCCTCTGCGGATGAGCTGTGCCCTGTGGCTGTGCCCAGCAAGAGCCAGGTCTGGTACTTCTCAGCCTTCTGCGTACTCCTATCTGAGCCGCTATCAGGTGCTGAGCTCTGCCCTTCTCAGCCCCCCACACAACTCACGTCTGCGCCAGGTTTGCCAGGAAGCTGGGGGACAGCAGCGTCTTCAGTGTCTCCATGAGGACACTGCAGGGCTGGGCGAGCTGAGGCAGGCAGTGGTGCGACTCACAGGTGAAGACGAAGAGGGCCAGACTGAGGAAGAGCAGGGTGCCTACAGGGGGAACCGCACAAAACTAGGGAAGGCTGCAGAGTCTCCTCTCTCCTGTCTGCCCAGTGCACCCCATGCTGCTCCAAGGCTGCTCCAGGGTTGCTCCTGCATTTCCATGTCTGAGAACGGACAGCTCTCTGGGAAGTGCCCCATAGCAGCACCCAGTGGCCACTTCTGCCAAGGTCAAGTGTTCCCTGCTGCAGAGATACCATTTTTGTTTCTCTGCCCCTGGCCCAGCTGGGCTTCTGCTGACTTGGCACAGCGCTGGCCAGCCCAGCCCTCGCTCCACAGAGAACAGCAGTGCTCGGGAGAAGTCCCCCGAGCCCCTCTGGCCACAGGAACTGGATGCTGATGGGGATGGACGTGTGGGCAAGTCAGAGGCCAGGAGGTGGGGCTAGGTCCAAGACAGATACCCTGTGGTCCCCCAGCTCCTACCTTGAGGGGAGAGGAGGTTCCAGTCCAGCTCTGCCATGGGGTGGCCTGCTCCCAGGCTATCTCCTTCCAGTGCTGCATTCTCACTGCCCACATGAAGCACCGCAGCAACACTTTGCCATACAACGCTCCACAGCTCCGAGGCAGCAAAGCCCCGTTCCACGTCCTAGCAATGTGGAGGCAGGTGTCAAGGGGCTTCCTAGCCCCCTGCTCTTTCCTAGCGCTTTAGTCCACGCGCTCACTTGCCGCATGACCCTGGGGAGGTCAGCTCTGGGTGGACCAGGCAGCCAGCAGCCCTGCAGTGCCTGCTGACGCTGCCAGTCCCAGGGCATTTCTGCCCTTTCTGCCTCTGATGTCCCCGTGAATCCCCACTTCCTGCCTCTCACTCTTCTGCAAACCCTCCACAAGAAACCCAGGGATGGTAGGTGACTTTCACAGGGTCACATGGCTTAGCCAGAGCTTCCCAGTGCCCTAGTTTGCATCTGCCCTCATCATTGATTCATGTTCGGGCCTTTCTGCCCCACACCCAGCCTTGGCAGGGAGCAGGCAAGGGGAGGGGGGCAGGCCAGTACCTGGGCTAGGAGCTTCAGCTGGAGGTGA